CCCTTTCTTTCTTTTTCTTTCTTTTCTCGGTCTCTCAAAAAAAAAAAAATCTGGGGCCCCTCTGGAAATTATACAGTATTTAACTGTCCAGATAGATTGTACAGAATACATAAGTGTGTTTGTAACACTGAAATGTAAAATTATGCCATCGATAAAAAAAGGTATTCCAGTAATGCAATCTTCTGAGAACATATTCATTTCTCTAATACGTCACTGGTTATGCTTGAAAGACCACCAAAATGTGCCCCCCCCCTTTTTTTTTTAAACCTGCCAAGCTTTATTTATTATTGGTATTTATATAGCACAGACAATTTACCCAGCGCTTTACATACTGCACTATCCGATGTCTGTCTAGTCCAGTACCAGGAGCTGAAACTCTGGAACTGGTGTGGGCACTTTGTCTGCTTCCGGGCACTGTGAAAAGAAAACATCTAGCTTAAACCTTGAAAGTGCGTCCGCTGCCACATTGCAAACCCCCGGAATATACTGACATGTGATGTTAAAATTGTACTGCAGTGACAGCCACGTAAGTCTGCGTAAGAAAGACATGATGGCCAGGCACTTGGATCTACCTTTGTTGACTATGTCCGCTGTGGCTTGGTTGTCCGTATGGAAAATGACTGTATGCCCTGCCCAACGCGGGCCCCATGCCCTGGCTGCCGCTACCAAGGGGTATATCTCAAACAGGGATGATGTCTGTGAAAAGGCCTCTATCCTCTGTACTTCTGCCGGCCAGTGGCCAGAGAACCAATGTGGGCCAAAAATAGCCGCAAACCCAGCGGATGCCGCTGCGTCCGTGACTATCTGTGGCGATGAGCGAGATGCCTGGGGAATGAACATGGAAATCCCGTTCCAATCACGCAGGAACTCGTCCCACATCCACAGATCGGCTCGAGCCGCCCTATCGATAAAAATGACCGAATCCCAGTCAGTGGCGGTCGGTAGTAATGCCAGTAACGTGGAAATGAAAGCCCTGCCCTGAGGGATGATTCGCATAGCAAAATTTAGCATACCCAACAGGGACTGTAAGGCCCTACGGGTAAACGTCGGGGCTAGCACCAGTGCATGCATGGCTCGCCTGATCCTGTCTAATAACTCTAAACATCCCCAGACCGCATATTTTACAAATAAATCATAGCTACAGGCAGACACTTGCCCCTTAATTTCACATTGCCTGGAAGTATCAGTGAGTATATTGAGGGTGTGGATTGTGTGATTATTGCCAGAGAACCTGTTTTTTGGGATTCTAAGAATCCAAAACTGGCATTATATTGTGCTGTTTGACTCGTAATTGACAAGTGCAGCTCAGGACTTTAGATAATTCACGGCCATATTACATTAGGGAGAGGAGTGGAAGGTAGTTGCAGCTGACATGGGAGGTATTGTGTGACAAAACCTGTTTTTTGGTCATAGTAAGTGACAGCACCCCACATTGCTGTATAGCTTTTACTCAGGTTTGATTAAAGAAATAACTTGACTTACCACTTGCTGTCCGCAGCAATTTCTTAATATTTGCACACACATATGATAAAATATGAATTTTTGGCTAGAAAAGCACTTCAAATCTCCAAACAATTATATATTTTCTGAAAGCAGGGGCTCTGTAGAATGAAAAAATGGTAGTTGCAATTTTTTTATGTCGCACGGTATTTGCGCAAATGTTCATCAAACCAATATTTTTAGGATAAAATACACTAAAATTAAGTTTAGTGCACAGAAACAGAATGTTACCCAATTTTTTTGGTAAAATATAAAAGATGGGGCCACGTCGGGTAAATTGATACCAAACATGTCAAGACTTAAATTGCGTTTGCCCGTGAAACCGCAAAAAACTACAATACCCAAAATTTCCCATAGGTGAAGAACACCTACAAGCGTTAATTATAGATATTCCCAGAGTTCTGCGTTTAAGGGTTTTTGTCTTCCAAACTATTTATTAATTCTGTAATTTCCTTGGAAACAACATAAATAAAGCTGTTCTGTATAATGATACATTTCAGGCTTGTGCAAGTTGTTATTTTATAATTCTCTTCCATCAACAGCAGTATTAAATCTTAGACATAAGATCCTATATGGCTTAGGAGTCTCTTTATCTTCAGATGTCTATATCCTTCTGTCTTCAGATGTCTAATGTAGTTTCCCTTTGCCTTTTAAATACCCTGCAGTGTAGTTAGTATGGGTGCAAAGAAACGTGGCACAGGCTATATAATTTTGGCAACTTGTAAAGATTCTTGATATAAAGTTTTACCTTTTGAACATTTTATAAGAATATTCATAGCCACAGTGTTGCCTTAAGGGATTAAGCTTGGCATGTGCAAACCAATTTCTCCATGTACGTTGATTGTGGTTCTGCACTGGAACTGGAAAGCTCTCCAACAATAACAGTGTGGTTACTTTGTCATCTGGTTAAATTTAACATGACATAGTAAGAAAACTCCTTCGCTCTTAATAACTTTCAGTGTTTCCTAAGTCCAGAGTATCAGTCTTTGTAGCATAACATCTATTTGAAATCGGAATATTTCGAGGTCACTTGCTCATTTCGCACAGCTTTATATGGGTTGGTTGGACACAGTGTTAAAGGCAGTTACATTCAATTAAATAATAAACTGTTAGAGTGATTGGCCTTTCCATCCAAAATAGTAAAATGATTACATTTTTAATAGGTAGGTATCCAAATTCATTACAGACTTTGCAGTTCAATTTGGACAGTATATAATAGCACTCTGCTGGGTTTACAAGTCACCCTTGAAAGCTTTATTTGGACTTGGCCTCATGTAATCACTTTGCTGCCAGTACTTCTGTGATTTTTTATTTTCTGTAGTAATGATAGGTTTACAGTATATCGCTGAGGTAAGAGTTCCGGGCTTACACTTAGCTAGTGTTTATTTAATTGTTAATGCACCCTAGTTTATGAACACGTTCAGTGCTAGTTGAAAAGTTAAAGTCTGTTAAGTTAAATACACCTTGCTTTTTGTACAATGTTACATAGGTACAGGAATGATGATTGTATTTAATGTAACCAGATATTAGTGCCTTTGTGCAGTAAACATTAAAAGACACTCATCAACAAAAATCTTCACATAAAAGTATATGTGCATTTCAACATAATTTATTTATGTTGCTTAGCCGTAAAAGCCTCCCTTGTATAGACATCAAAAACCACTTAGACTGCTGCTGGGTGCCTCCATCTTGGATGTGATGTTAGAAGTCCCAGCAGACTCAGATCCGTCACTCAAGTGACACTATATCAGAGGTCTCCAACCTTTGGGGAACC